GGTTGGCTGGGCCGCCTCGCGTCAGTCGTACTCGATTCTTATTGGTCACTGTTTTTCATTGATAACTCGTTAACGGCGCCTTGGAGAAAATTTTTGTAAAGGAAGAAGTTGCTTCAAATGATCCGAGGAACCCGCCATTTCCGGATTGCGAGACATTTTTGGGGCACCCTGTAGAAAGTAGTGACATTTGTTTTTTCAAAATGGAGTTTCATGTAATAAGTACAAACGATGCGTCATGAACAGACATGCCAGCTTATGAACTTTCTCACCAGAGTTTAAATTAACTTTTTACGAAAACACGACTCCGCGTCTAGTACGTTTTTCGAAATGAAATGCAGAATGATGCACGATTTATACAGTCTGCGGATGTTCGCGGAGACCGCTCACTAATAATAAGAGCAATGTGTTAGCACTACAATTAAATATCGTTAAACAACTGCGATTGTTTTCAACGAATTTCTGTTATTCTCTGTAAACGGCGAATAATGATCTCGAATATCTTTATTCTAAATCTTCTTTAATTTAGATGAGAGAGAGAGTTCTATGAATGCTAAGCGAACTTTCATATTCTTTAGTGCATAAAAAAGTGCATCGAAATCTATTGAACTCAACTTCACCGCTTTCATGTAATGAAAAACAGTCATTTACGACATTCGTTCAAATTCTTATGCATCAACGTTTTCACATATTCTTTAACGCTAGATTTACAGACTCTACCGAAAGCAACTACAGTAATGTCTCTCTAATTGACGCTCAGATTGTCCACAAAAATGGACAATTTGTGAAGAGGAGATACGATTATTCGAGCCTTGCAGTTTGTTTTTATGGTTACGAATTGTGGATAATTATAAAAATGTGCCTCTTCCCAAATTGTCCATTTTTCTGCACAATCTGAGCGTCAATTAGACAGACATTACTGTATTTTATTATTATTATTTTGTAGCTGTAACAGCGACATATTTATTCGGATACTTCGCGATCCGAATAATCGTAAATCACAAAATTTGGCGTTAAATCGAGAGAGTTTCGTCGCGCAAGGGTTCGACAAACCCTAAAAACAAGGCAGAAACACGGTTCTGATTCCGACGCTCGGTTTGTTGCAGAGAAACTCGATATCGCCGGCGGAACGGGAGAAGTACAGTAGACCCCGAAGCACACCGGACCCGCAGCACCACGATCACCTGCCGCTGAAGAAGATGAAGAAGGAGCAGGACAAGGACATAGGCCATGTAAGTATCCAGGATGGTACTCCATGATTCACCACCGATGGTATACCTTAATAAAGCCGTGCACGTTTGCCCCGACAGCAAAGCGATGGTGAAAAGAGCGACCAGGACTTGGTGGTGGACGACGCGAGCGAAGGGCCGGGGAGTCCCGCGGCGAACGGGACCTCGTCGCCCAGGGAGAACGGCCTGGACAAGCTGGGCCCGTCATCGGTACCTTTGAGCAGCCAGGTGAAGAAAGAAGTGCCGCCACCCTCGCCGCGGAGCGGCACCAGCAGCAACGCCAGCACGCCCTCGGCCAAGAAGATGGAGGATCGGGAGAAGCCGACCACTCCGATCTCGAAACCTGTCACACCTACATCAGCCGGTACGTTCCTCTCCATCGCGAAGCGGTAATCGGCCGTAGGAGATCGTTAACACCGCGACGGGACGACTCTTTTTGTTTCGGGGGTGTAACGAAGTCGGAAAGTGCATTACGGATGAGTAATAGGGATCGAGGCGTTTCTCGGACCATATAAAGACGTTGATCTATCTCGCGATGGGTATCACGGCGAAGTTAGCTTAATTAACCGATCAACGAAAGTGCCATTTAGTGGGAATCGCGTGGATCTGTTCGTCGAGTATTCGCGATTCATTAGGAAAAACTTTACAAATTCGAAGTACGGGATTTAAAGAGACCTGTATAGCGAAATATTAACGTAGTCTTTGAAACCACCCGCAGTTTTTGCAGGGCAAAACCGATTCGTTGTTGAAATTTAGACCCGAAATTTAATGCAAGAAGTCGACGCGTTTCTTCAATCGTGTGTCATTAACTGAATATTGCTTACTTTTATGTGGTCTTTACATGTTGAATTCGGTACTGTAAAACCTTCGGAACGAGTAAATAATTTTACGCAATTAACGATATATTTTTATAGTTTCTCGTATCAAATATTTAACTTTAGAGAGACCTTTAAAAAGAAGTACCAAAAAGCACGTTCCTGGTAAACAATTTCTACAAAAATTTTACTTCAGAAAGTTATCGCCTTTTCCATTCTCGCTGGTAAAAAGATCGTCGATAAAATTTGAAAGAAATCGCGTACATTAAAAATTAAGTACGGTATAATTATTAATGTAACACAGTGCTTCTAAGTATTACCGAATTGTATAAATTACAAAGACGCTTTTACGAAGATTTCAAGATTCTGCTGGTGCTGACGTTTCAGTTAGGGCATGTAACATCTCGAACAATTTAAAAGAGGTATTTCTGTAGAACTTAATCGAGGTATCCGGTTGCAGTTAGAACACGATAGGCCCGCGTTAATCGAGGAGGTGAAAAATGGCAAGTCTGACGATAAATGTATGGTCGACAGGTGGTAGCAGCTCCGGCTCCGGCGGTCTGAAACCATCGAGTTCCAGCAAACCGCTGGTCTCGGCTTCGGCGGTCGGCCCTTATCCGCCACACTATCCGCCGCCACATCATCCACCCGCAGGACCTCATGCGGACATGTTGGGTTATCCTCCGGCAGCCCTGAATGGATATCCCACAAGACCGCCTCTTCAGCAACTCTACGATCCTCACGGAAGCATGAGGGCACCTCTCGGACCTTTCGGTGTGCCCGGTGGCAAACCGTAAGTACTCTTCATTTTACTTCACCGGTTGGCTTCGTGAACGCTCTCGATCGTCTCCAAATTTTACTCGTCGACCCTTTTCGATTCCAACGAATTCGACGCGACTAAAACGTTACCGGCGCGTTCCGATCGAGACTAGAAAAATTGTTATTCCTACAAATCTTATTACGACAAAATATACGATCAAACAAGTTTGCGAATTTCAGCGTCGATCGGCTAATTTATCCGGAGGAATCCGGACACATTTCATCTAAATAAGAACATCTTTGTTGGATATAAATTTCCTCGATACAAATGAAATCGACCGTGCCTATTAAAATTTACGAACGTAGAAGTTGTTTTAAATCGCACACGGTAATCGTTAATGGCTGCCGAACAGATTAGAGAACGGATTAGAGCGTGAAATGAGAATGAAACGAGAAAGGCGATAGTTACCTTATTACCGGCAATTTGTTCCACGAAGTAAATCGAATTTCTTTGTTTAAACAGCGCGTACAGTTTCCACGTGTCGAGCGAGGGCCAGATGCAGCCGGTCCCGTTTCCACCTGATGCTCTAATTGGACAAGGAATACCGCGTCACGCGCGCCAGATAAATACCTTGACACACGGCGAGGTGGTGTGCGCCGTAACGATCTCAAATCCGACTAAATACGTTTACACCGGTGGCAAAGGATGCGTCAAGGTCTGGGACATCAATCAGGGCGGCGGCGGTAGCGCGAAACACGTTTCGCAGCTTGATTGCTTGCAGCGGGACAACTACATCAGGTTGGTTAAACGTTCACGGCACATGACACATTAACTTTCCACTCCGCGGAGCAAACGCGATCCCAGCCTGAATAAATTCTGATTAGCGCGCACCTGCGGTACTATTAAGGTCGCGTCCAATGATACGTGCGACTGTCCAGTTAATCGGAATATCCTCGAAAACGTTTCGATTTGCAATCAAGGCACCGATTCGAACATCGTTCATGCCGTTTGTCTGCCTTCGATGAATTTCATATTCCCGACGACGTTAAGTTCAAAGAATTAACCCTCTGCACTCGAGTGGCGACTTTGAGGCGCCACTAAAAATTGCTATACTATTTTTCAAAATAATTGCAACAGCATCAGACTCGTTTATATCTAAAAGACTCTTAGAATTGCAAGTTTTGTACTTGCCAATAGGCTTTCGTATGCATAAATCGCAATAAATCGTATAAAATAGAAACACTGTAGGTCAGAAAATATGTTTAAAATATAATTAAAATAGCTTCGAGCGCAAAGGGTTAAAAGCGACTGCACATACAGAAGTAAGCATCTCCGATCGAGATATGTCGTTGAAATTGAAACACGAATTGAAGCATCTCCAAACGTCTCCAACCAATTGACAGAGCTTCCAAAAGCCGCAATGTCTCTACAAGTAAAAAGATCTATCGGAGAGTAAAAAGATGGTAGCGGTAAGACGCACGATGATTATACGAACGAGTTCAGTGAAGCGCGGATGGCGATAATAACAAGCGACAATTGCTTTCTTTCTTACACCGTGCTGCCGATTGAACTAACGCAGGAGGAGTCGTGGAGCTGCGGCTCTCACGCAATTGCGAGAAAACGAGCGATCGTTTCCTATTGGCAGACTAAACTGATGCGTGTTCGAAACGCGAGTCCCGTGATCACATTCAGGCGGGGTTCCGAGCTTAAACGCCGACGGATGTTCGAACGCGAACCCAGAACCACCAGAACGAGGTTGGGAGATGTGAAGGACAATCGACTAGCTCAGCAGAGCTCGAGCAACACCAACGGTAGTCGACGCAGTTCAAAGAGCTGAGGTAGCCTACCGCACAGCTCTTTGATCTCCGCCGGCTACCATTGGATAGCAGTTGGCTGGCGCAGATCGTCCAGCAGCAGCGGTGGCAGCAGCGGTGGCAGCAGCAACAGCAGCAGTTCCAATATGCTTCTGATGGAATTGTTTATCACAGTGTTTTCTGCGATACGTGTGTCTGCAGATACTATGATAAAATATTCCATCAGAAGCATCTGTGCTGGCCAAACATCTGAAGCACAATTGCATGAAGAATCCGACGCCGGGGTGCAATTTGAATGCGAAAAAACGTCCGCCCCGATGTGATTGCGGCTGGCAGGTTCGAGGAGAGGAATGCGCCTCAACTTCCACACGAGGCACGAGTGCAAGAAATACGGTTGCAAGTGATGTCACGTATTTTTTGCAATCGTGCCTCGTGCGAAAGTTCAGTCAAGTGCCCGATCTGTTAACAAATCCACGGCCGGATCGACGGCGGACCAGGGACATTTGATCCACCGCTTCCGAAAGGATCGGCCATAGAAGTAGATTAACCAGGTGTCGTCGAAATTTACAGTAATCGAGCAACAGGCTGCCCGATACGTCTATCGTTCGTTCGCGAACAGGCCTAACTGCTCGTTGGCCGGATATCGCGTAACAGCTAGAAAATTATCTCGGATAGGAATAGCATGCAACTCGACCCCGTGAGATCCGATTAAAAGGCTGCTATTAAATTATTTAAACACATCAAATCTGTGTTCTAGTAATTACCTTCGCGTTGAAGCTATCCAAGAGAAACGAAGCCTTGAGCGAATGCAATTTGAATTCAACCGAGCACATTTCGTCTTAAAACCAATTTCATATTCTAACGCGGTGTTTCCTTTAAATCCCACAGATCCGTGAAGCTGCTACCAGACGGCAGGACTCTGATCGTAGGCGGCGAAGCGAGTAACCTAAGCATCTGGGATCTGGCGAGCCCGACGCCGAGGATCAAGGCGGAACTGACCTCGAATGCTCCGGCTTGTTACGCGCTCGCAATTTCACCAGACTCGAAAGTCTGCTTCAGCTGTTGCAGCGACGGCAACATCGCTGTCTGGGATCTGCAAAATCAGTCTTTGGTCAGACAGTTCCAAGGTCACACGGACGGCGCTTCTTGCATCGACATCTCAGCGGACGGATCGAAACTGTGGACCGGAGGTCTGGACAACACGGTCCGCTCATGGGACCTCCGGGAAGGCAGACAGCTTCAACAACACGACTTCACCTCCCAGATATTCTCCCTCGGCTACTGTCCCACAGGGGAGTGGCTCGCGGTCGGCATGGAGAACTCCAACGTCGAGGTGCTGCACGCTACGAAACCAGACAAATATCAACTCCATTTGCACGAGTCCTGTGTGCTTTCGTTACGTTTCGCTACCTGCGGAAAATGGTTCGTCTCCACAGGCAAGGACAATTTGTTGAACGCGTGGCGTACACCTTATGGTGCCTCGATATTCCAGGTAAGGCTCGAGTTTGTTCGATCGTTTCTGTACCGTAATAATTTGAAGACCGTATGACACTCAACGCTTTCTCAGGATAAACTAGAATCTTTCTGTATAAAGTATCGGTTATCTTAAAACGACCTTGAGAAAATGCCTAGAAGCTAAAAATTGTCTGTTACTCCGTTGAACAGTATAAACTCCGTTTTGGTTATTTTCAGTACAGATATTTTGATGATTCTTTTTTCATTTCCCCCTGACAGTATGTCCTGTTTAAATGAAGTCGTTCACAATGTCTCAGAATGAATTGAAAATACTAAAACATGTTTCTATAAAATTTACATGATTACTCTGCTCTAACCATGAATTATTTTGTATAACCTTGTTCAATTAACCCTTTGCATGCGAAAGCATTTGAACTTTGAATCCAAGATGGTTTTTCTAACTTACAGTATTTCTGTTTTATATAACTTATATTAGTGTAACTTTTAATAGATATTTGAAATATAAATGATAATTCACTTAGAATCATCCATAGAGTGTAAAGGGTTGAAACCGATGTCCAGAATTGTAGGAAACGTAATAGACAGTTTCTAATGGAGCAACTTTCTTGTGTTACAGTCAAAGGAATCCTCATCCGTGCTTAGTTGCGATATTTCTACCGACGACAAATACATCGTGACCGGATCGGGTGACAAGAAAGCCACCGTATACGAAGTGATATACTGAATCACCACCAGGACCACGCTATCAGACTTTGGAGATTATCGTACGAAAGACTACGCTTTCGTAGTATTCATACATGAGAGAGCACGATAAGCAACGTGCTTCGGTTTTCTGGCGAAGAAGAAAGAAACACGTTTGTAGATCACGCACTAAAACTGTCGGTCTAAGGAGCACGAGAAGCCAAACTCTACTCCGAGGGGACTAATATTTTGTGAATCGAGTGACGCGACCGACAGTACGTGTTATATTTGTTATATTTGGATGATGCGCAAACGGCCGCCATAGATGGACACGACTATGCCGCCGAGGACTAAAGTTACATTATATAGATATAAATATATAAATATATATAAATATAAATATAAAGGTGGCAGAACGTTTTAGCTATTTAAGATTGTATAGAGCGCATAGTTATAAATAGAAACGATGTTGAACGATACAGTGCGCGCGGTGATGTTCGCCCCTGAAACGAGATCGCGTAAGATCGGGGTGTGTACCGACTTCGGCCAGAAGTCGCCTGTGTAATATGTTACTAATGTAATATAGCGTTTTACGGTTAAGTAAATCATACGCGTGACTGTGAGCGATCGCGAACATGGACGCATGGTATTTGGTCGTTCCCGCTATGCGCGATGTCCTCGTGCTTTATTTGCGAAAGGACGAGGCGAAGGGGCACGTGCATGGATCACCGATCTAGCGTGTAAACCCGTAGGAATTGTGTGTCGCGTTGCAGAAATTCGATCGAGCAAAGCGAGCACCGCTAGCGGGGCCAGTCCTGAGGGGAATCGATGAAAAGTTAAACGCATCAACCTTTTGTTGGCCATGATCTTCTGTTGGCACGTCTTTTGGGTCCGCATCGGTCGCTTTTTTTCAAGGCAGCGTCTTCCGACAGCACCTTCTCAATATTTTCGCCTATCGCAGCTTCCCCTTTCGACCACGATCCACTCAGTTTATTATGGAAAGTAATCTTCTTCGAGACTGTCACGTTCCATCGTCTCTTCGGGCCTCGGCGCCTATACGATTCACCATGGAGACAGTCGTTCCACACGCCCCTCCGACTGCCATGTAGAAGCACAGCCCTGTCAGGGTTTCATGCGCATCCGCAAGCATGTGATCACTTCTGTTGTTGTTAACCCATTTCTTCTAGAGTTATGCGAGAAACTATGCGGAACATGATCGGCACGCCCGTCGTACACGGAAAGCGGCCGCCCCTAAATCGTTGTATCTTTATGGGAGTGTAACAGACGCGATGATGTGTACCTGTCGACAGTGTCTGGAATCTGCCATGAACATTCGGCGAGCCATTCGTTCGACCTGCTCCCAGAAGTTGCTAATAATATCAAACACATTCGTAGAGGAGAGAGAGAGAGGGACATAGAATGGACATAGCGAGTATAGGGCTATGAACTGATGTGTAATTATTTCGATCTGAAAGAAGCGTCGCGGTATTTACGTTGCGAAAGAGTAACGACATCGTTTGGTACTCGCACGCAGGCCTGAGTTCTGGGGACTTTGTTGGCTCTTTCGTCGCTCCGCGTCACACCGCCACCGGATAGATAACAATTGCGTTCGGTAACCATGGAAATTTTGCGACGGCCACGGAAGGATGAGGAAAGAAGCAACGCGTTCGATCTCTCGACCGTTTTTTTTCTAGAGCAAACATGCACGATAAAACGAGACGACCTCTTTTAGTCGTATTAGAGTCGACGAGTCGATCCCTCGCGAGGTACAAAGCTTTTGGTATGTCGTAGCTTCTTGACGTCCCGAGCCGATCACCGGGCAATGATCGCAGAGTCTTTGCTCGACTCATTGCGTAGTATATTTTTTACGACCGCTGCTCTCTTAGCCGTGACACGATCGCTGCTCGTACGAACGTATGTTCGCAGTGTATTCGTATATGTTTTACAGATTCGATATATCGGTTTGAGTGTTTCATTAGAGGACCGACTGCGATGTACTTTATATGTTGTACCGTCGTGAGGGGGATGAGATGTCCGCGTCTATCGGAATCCAGTCGTACTCGATGGAAATACAGGAACACATGCGAGCGAGCTTGGGCGCGCGTGACATTATTCCCACACTCCAGGCACGAGACGCGTGTACTTTGCGAAAGGCATACAGGATGCGCTCGGAAACGATACGTTTTTTCAAGATATTCTGCGAGATATTTTTGTGATTGTCCACGATGACCCTAGTTTTAACCAAACAACACGAATCGCGTCGCAAGCGGAGCAATCTCTGCGGTATCACGAGAACTTTGTAGGCTGTCGAGCAACGCGGGGGGACCTGTCGAGACATCTACGTAGATCCACCTTGGGCCCTAATACTCGATTTCTAGGCACCCAGACCAATGTAACTCGTCGTGTAGCGGATTGCGTGTCCAACCGAGGGTGTCGCAATTAGTAGTCGAATTTTTAAATCATCATTTCAAAGTGAACCGCAGCGTTCGTTCCGCTCGCTATTCGACTCCACCGAATTGAATTTTATCGTATCGGAAGGATCAAATTGACGATTGCATTTACGTACGTTGACAGTTTTTCTTCATGCCGGCGTGACGGGGCGTGAAGTTAGGGTACTAGGTAGCGCGTCATTATTCGGATCTGACATACGGTCAAAGCAGGGGATGCATAATGGAGATTTATATTTTGTTACAGGATGACACACGTTTTACATTCGCTGTGATCGTCGTAGAATCGACGCTGTAATACTGCCCCGCGCGAGGATTATCGTTAAGTAAACGCAGATTTTTTCACCACAGGGAAAGAATGAGATAATGGTACACGCGAGAATCGGAAAACAAAAACAAAAGTGCGGATAGATTTTCGACGAGCACAGCTCCGAACGATAGACCAATAGAAACAACGATACCTCAAGAAGACTCAATAGTTAATTATCTCTTACGGATTAACTTGTACAGAATCCATATTCTTTTACAGTGAATAATACGCATACCCACGCAGATGCATTAGGACACACACATACACACATGTACACACAAGTCACAAACACATTAATGCAGACGCACTAGGAAGAACAACGGCAACAAAAGAAAAGAAAAAAAGAAATAGAAGTATAACAACGAGATCGCGGCTCGACACATTGAAGTAATTAATAATTGTGTCCTGCATTGACTAAATTGTGTCTCCGTGCTCACAGTTTGCACTCCGTGTGTACGAAAGTAAAGCGAATGCGTTTCTAGCAGAGGAAAAAAAGACAAGTGTTAATCCTTTCCAAGCACAGTTCATGTTGTTCCTATAGCTACGCGACAATTGTTTCTTTCGACAATTAAATCATCTATATCTATATACATTGTCTGTTTTCTTGACTATCATTCCGTCCCTCCTCTCCCGATGAAAGTTGACTTTAGCGTGTTATCGACGCTGGGGGTTGTTTATCTTCCATTGTAGGTAAGTCGTGTGAAAGAATTGCTAAAATGCGAGAAATCCAACGTCTACCATTAAGGAAAATTAGCAGATTTCAAAGGAAATATTCAGATTGATGTTTTTGTTTCGGTGACCCTTTTGTTGTTCAACTTAGCTTAAATTAAAAGTGAAAGAATATACTTTAAGATAGACTGGATTAAATTGGAGAAAAATTATTAAATCATTTTAAGAAATTGGAGAATCCGAGCTCTGATATTAACGAAAATTACCAGATTTCAAAGGGGAAGTTCGGATCGATTTTAAGTTAGGTTCTTATGGGCCGTTTTTTATGCAAGTTAGCTTAAATTAAAACTGAAAGTGTATGCTTTAAGATAAGGTGGATTAAATTGACGAGGAATCATAAAATTATGTGTATCGTAATATAAATGAGGTATACTGAAAATTTAAAAAACTGTACCGATTGTACTGATAGGTCAACCCCTATACCTCATTTGTGATAACACAAAAAGCTCCGTTATCATTGTCACGCCCTTCCGTATCGCCGAGTGATAAGAATAAAAACCATAGACGAGGTATATCTCTCGTCTGTGTCAAAACTATATCTCGTTTAGGTTATCACTTTCGTTGGATATCGCCAGGCGATGACGCTACGATCACAGACCGGATATAAAAATACTGACTGATTTACCGGCCTGATATTTTTCGACTAATTGCAGTAACTTGCAAAATTGCAGAAAGGCCGTATTGAGAAGCAAAAGAAATTTATGGTATTTTAACTATCTGTTCTGATTCATATTAAAATTGCTTATTATTTCACGATTAATTTTCAATTATCTTTTTATCATTGTTATTATTAAAATGTCATACCTACGACAATATTTAACAAACGCAAATAATATGACGAAACATTTTTCTAGAGTATAGATATTTTCATTGATTCTTAAATACAAATGTTTGTATACATATGTTCCTTTTATATATTATGTCACGCGTACCATTATATGCACCGTTTATTTTGAAAGTGGTGCAAGTCCACTTTTTCTTTTTTTTTTGGTTATAAATAAAAAGGTTACACTGGGGAACAATCACAAATTATGTGATATCTCATTTAAAAAAGAAAAATGGACTTACACTTCAAAAATAGACGTTCCATATAATATGCGTTTTTGCTAATTATATAGTTTATAAACTTGGCAAGATGTTGTCGCTATAGGGTTCTAAGGATATTATCTCAGAATCCAATTAATCCTTGGACTGCGAGCGGTACATACCTTCCTAGAATTATTAATATACAAGGTGTTCTATAGATGATGGTACATCCGTGGGGGAGGCAATTTTACAGGAAAAAATTAATCGAAAATATGGAATAAATCTTTTCCCTCTCAGACTTCGTTTTCGGGAAAAGTGATTTAGCGCGGTATAGAATTGGTATTGATTGGCGCGTCTGTCCGTGATCGACCGATTCTATTCGTAAATGATAGAGCACGTGAATCAGGCGGATCTCCAAATTCATTTTCCTCGCACACAAAGCCTTAAATAACAAAATTTCGTTCTATATTTTCGATGCATTGCTACATACGGAATCATCCGCTCGTATAAAAGAAGTCTGTACGAAATTTAACTAATGTATAAAATATAAATGTAAGAATATTTATGCTCATGCATCTATTTATATCGAATTCCTGGATGTAGTTCATAAACATTATTTTCATACATTTGTTGCCACTAAATTATAGCAACCCGCAGTTGAAATAAAGTATATCGAATACTCGATTCCTGCTAACGAATCCGTAACGTCGGGCATGGCACACGAATGGGAATGGATTTCTAAGGGCCCACAAAATCGGGTCACAAAAATACATCGAATATCAAGTAAATTCTTCGATTCCATCATTTTGTTGATCGTAGAATAATATTTCATTACAAGCGAAAAACTGAATCGACAACAACAATTTCCCCCCCATTTTAACCACTATCAAAATCGCTTAACACTTAACGGACGGTTTACGTAAATTTACGTTTTTCCATACTAATTTCCTAGCACTAATACGATATTAATACTTTATCAATATTTTATTAATACCACACATGTGAATAAATAACTTTGTAAAATGTTATGAAAAATAGCGTCGATTTAATAAAACTGCAACGCTCTGAAAAAATACATACACGTTTATTTAATTCTCTTAAAAAATTTCCTGGCATAATAGCTTGGAAATTTTAGATTTAAAAAGAAATGTCGAAGACGGCGGTAATATAAATTCCTAAAATTAAGATAAGTCGTCCAAGAATTTTCGTACTTAATTCTTAGTTAAATAAGCACAATGCTGTAGTTAGAGTTTGCTGCCTTTCAACACCCAAGAAATATAGTTCAAATGTTATTTCAGTTTTTGAAAATGGCACCAAAGTGCTACCACCGGCATACAACAGATAGTTTTTGCATGGCACCAGCGTGGTGCCACCGGACGTCATAATGTTAAGATAAGCTGAAAATAATCGATACGATAAATCTAAAGCCCTCTGCCAAAATTGTAACTCTCGAAACGTGCGTTTCGCCTCTCTGCCGCGAGAATCTTTATTAAAACAACTTCGTCGTTATTCTCGGAGGGATGCAGAGAACGTTCGAGAAAAGAGAGTGCTTCTACCATCATTTCAGGCACAGAGCTAGAGTTACATTGCGCGGTGAAACCGAGTTAAGAAGAAACAGCGCACGAAACACGGATCGATCTAGCGCTCGGTGCATCGTTCTAAAATCAACCTAAGCATTACCCTCGGAGTTACATAGCCGTCCGCGCATCATCTAGCTTCCTCTCTTTCTCCGTCGTCGAAGCTGCGAGAAGCACGGCGGAAGGATTATTTATCACTCATTTCGGCGGCTTAAGTAGTTCACCGCAGCTAAATAGGATGGGGGCACATGTGTCGTACGAGCATTCACCCCCGTTATACCGAGGAATAAAGTCCCCCCTCCCCTTTCGCCCCTGCCGTTATCCTTCGAGCAAAAGGTCACGTACCACTACCCTGTCGATCGTTCACCTCGTCCTGGGAGTCGCTCCAGGTTGCCAGGTTAAAGCGGAAGATGTGAAGGATCTCTCTGCACTTTACATGGGAACGTAGGATGTTGTAAAACGCGAAAGGAGAGAAATAACACTGGCTCTCTCATATTGGCTTCGGCGTTATCAAATATATATATATAGATCGGGATGATTCGATTCGGAGTACGTTTCGTGGTAAAAAGGCTTCCAGATTCGTGTTGGATCAGCGAGCACGAGATGTTTTTTTACCGCAACGAAGAATTCGTCATTCGTTTTTATTTCAAATTTCGTCTCATATTTCCTCGGAACATTTTCGCCGCGTCACGAATCGCGAATACAGTGAATTCTCCCTAATTTTCCTTCGGATTGTAAACAAAAATGGACAATTTGGAAAGAGGAGATACGATTGAATGATCGGCTCGTTTTTGTAGTTGCCGATTGTTAACGATTATAAATACGATGTCCATTTTTGTTTAGAAGCTGAAGGAAAATTGGGAAGAATTTACTGTAACGCGTCTTTTAAACGTATGTGGCGTGAAACCGATGTAATAAAAAATGGCGGCAGATAACGACTCAAAAACATGGTATTTTTACGCAGAATAAAATTGTCCGAATTAATTCCGTGCTGCAGGGATTGCGTGGACCAGGGGTGTCAAACTCAAAAGCTAACTTAGACCAAATAAACAATGCTTAACTTTAGGTGGGCCGCAAAAAAAAATCAATGTTCATAGATACAAATATTTCTATTTTGACTAGTACATTGTAATAAACATATATAAAGTTAAATTATTGTTTACGTCCTGATACTTGACATCTCTTCTCTGATACTATCTTTCCTATTTCGGTAGAAATTTTATTGGCCGAGACTATTTCCATTTTATTTTTACTTTGCGTCGGATATATTGACTGGGCCGCAAAAATGTTCATCTCGGGCCGCGAGTTTGACACCCCTGGCGTAGACGATTTCGTTGAAATTAACACGGTGTTTCGTTTCGTATCCGATTTATCTATTTATTTTCACAAACGCGCGCGACCCGCAGTTTAACCGTATCGTCGTCGATTCAGCTTCGAAGGGTAGCGACGTTACCAACGGATTTTTAAGCTCGCGAAACGGGCGACGCCTTAATATCCTACCCCCGACGGACCGGTCGAAACTGGCGAATTAGCTCGCGTTCTCTTATCGGGACAGGGATATATTAAGTCGGCTAATAGACTCCGGTATCTCAAGTTTCGCACCCCGCGAGCACACGAAACACGCGTCGACGAACAAAGACAGGGACTAACGAGGCGCGATAAACAATGAACTCGGGTATTACGTTCGCCGATCCGTCGAAAGGGGTATCGAGTGTCGATCGGTAGCCGCGCCGTTATTTTCGGAAAGTAATAAAGCATTTTTCGATCCGTGCACGCCGGATCTCGGACGTTCGCGCGATCTTTCGACCCGCCTCGTGATCCTCGGAGTTACGCAACGCTTGGAACGTCACGTGACGACGCAAGGAGGCTAGAATAAAAATTACGTAACGATAATAGCGTTATGACGTGGCGGACGCTCGGCGAACAACAATTGAATCCGGACTCCGAACAGTGGCCTAAGCGGACCTGCATCCACACCGGCAGCCGCTAATCCTCGACGAAGATCGACTTGCGGAGTCAGGACCAAATGTGGAAACACGATAGCTGTTGTACGCCGAGAGTTCTGTAGATTTAACCAGATTCACGCTTCCTGCTATCCACCTCCGATTCCCGAAAGGTGGACTTCACTCCGGTCCGAATCTCGTCGCTCTCTGGGAGATCGATCTCGGTTATTCGCTCCAAGAAAACTTTTAGCAAGCCTCGTTCATCCCTCGTGACAATTTCTCATGGACTTTTCAAATGGAACGCTCCTTCCCTCT